GGAAGATGGGCACAGATGTTAGCTCAGGGTGAATGTTCCTCAGGAGAAAAAAAAAAAGTTTGGGAGAGCAAAGTCCTTTGATATCACACCTTAAATCTGCATGGTGCTTAGTGTTCCACATCACTTACACAAACACGTGTCCACTTGGAGCTGTGGGACCTCTGGCAGAGAAACCCGAGGCTCGGAATTAACTGGCCTAAGGCCTCAGAGCTCATGGTACCCAGACTGGAGACCAGTTTTTCTGACTCCTGTTCCAGAGTTCTTTCCATGTGACACCGCCTTTGTGAGATTTTTATTGAAGTCATACTTCAGCCATGGAGGGCTGGATGGGCAGAAATGATATTCCTCTTTGCTGAGCTGGAAAGCTGAATAACAAATTCACAAAGAAAAACTGGCCCTAGAAGGCAGGTTGTCTTGTCTGCCAGGATCTGTGTTTTCGATTAAAAACCACCTGGAGATGGGTTGCTCCAAGAGGGGAGCAGGATGCTGTAGCTGGGGGAATAACGGCCAGGGAAAACCGGAAAGTGCCTTCAGGGCACCTTTTCATCTTTGAACAGAAAGTTACAACTTCTTTTCCCTCAGTTTCTGCTTCTAAAAGTCTTCGAAGGGTCTGGAGGAAGGGTGGGTACAGATTCAGTTTGGGATGACGAAAAAGTTCTGGAAATGAATAGTGGTGACGGTGGCACATTATGAAGGTATTTAATGCCATTTAAAAATGGTTAAAACGGTAAACTTCATGTGTATTTATCACAATAAAAAAAATAAACGAAGAGGCTTGGGTTAACTAAAGCTTTCCAACTTCTCTTCAACTCTACGATTCCTACCCTAATTGGAAATTTCCTCCCAAATTAGTTTCACCTTGCCAAGTGCTTTCTCCCTCTCATCTCTTGGAACCATGTCCCATAAGATCTCAACCCTGTTCTTACTGCAGAAAGTAACGTGCCTTGCTAAATATCTCCTGGCTGGCATTATGACCGAGGGTAGTATCTGCACTTTGTGTTGTGGAAGAGGCTGGCCCCATGGTAAATGGCTGGGGCAGAGATGGAGTCTTTCTGGAATCACAACAACCTCTTACTCTGATAGATTGACCTTCTCTGCTAAAAGTGGTATCGGGCTTTTAAAAAATTTTTTTAATTAAAGATGCATTTAATTAATTAGGCTTGACTTAAAAGCTGGGCTGAGAATCTTTATTCCTGAAGACAAAGCCCAAGTCGGGAGGTTGGTTCAGCCTTCCTGCTCCAGTGTATGATGTAGGCAAGCGGCAGTGCTGGGTTTGGAGGGCAGGTGCAAAAAGCCAAGCATTGACTCAGCCCGCAGACAACTTCTTAGAGGTGGTACGGGTGTGGAAGCCTGCCCGGCCTGGGTCCTGAGAGAAATCCAGTATAGCTCAGAAAGTATCCAGACTTCTCAGAGATGAGCATTGGCTCAGCGGGCAGACGCTGACCTTTGAGCCCTGGCTCCAGCCTGGGGGTCAGCACAGACACTGGGGCAGGGCCAGGACTGAGAAGCTGACGGGGGGCTTGTGGTGCCCAGCCCACCATCATGCCTGAGCTCCTTGTCAATAAAAGGCAATCAGCAGTCTAAGCTGTACTGGAAAAAACAAATTGATGTGAACTTGCTTTCAAGAGAGCCTTGGGTTTGCTTTGTAGCCTGATTTGACTCTTCTTCCATGTAGAAACATTTTTCTCATATACAATATCCCCCTCTACTCCTACACACCCCCGCAGTGCAGTCGGTGCAGGGTAAAGAACTGAGCTCTTGACCAACCCTTGCCATTTTTAGAACAGTTCTCTGAGGTGTGATCACGGATCAGCAGGAGAGAAGGGGTGCGAGGCCACGAGGGGATTGCACAGACCTAGAGCCAATCTTGCAGCGGCTGATGGTGTGGCTTGTGTGCTGGGAGTGAGGAGTGGGGGTTGCATTTGAGAATATTCACAAGCATGTCTCCACAGGGGGAGAAGGACGTAAAGCTTTGGGCAGAATTGCCTCCCTTAAAATAATTGGGTGTTCTTGGAAAGCTTTGTAAACCAGATTCCTAGGATTCAAGGTGCTTTATTTTCCTCTTAAATAGCTTTCAAAGATATGCTGATATATCTCCCTAGACAGGACAGCGGGACTTAACACCAGCCCTGATGGTAGCAAGCAGCTGATGTGTAAGTAAAGATTCCAGGAAGCTGCTTCGCAAAGGAACCCTTCAATCCACCAACTGAGAAAAAGGAAAGGATGCTTTGGTTGTGATATTCGTGTGGAGGTAGGAGCTAAGAGCCTGTCCACAGCTAGGACTGGAATCACCGTGCTGGCAGCAGGACAAGGGGAGGCAGTCAGCAGCGCAGGCCCTAGCATCCTGAGACCTAGCATGGAGCAGTGCACAGGTGCATGGCCTGGATGGCAGCTGGGGTCCCAGGCACAGTGGCTCATATCACAGGCTATGGGCACTGCAGTTCAGCTCTAGAGCACAGGGACACTCCCCCAAAGAGAGATCACCTATTACAGTAATCAGGTTCAGAAGACAAGAGTGAGGTTGGGAGCCAGGCTGGGCCTGCTAACGATGCCCAAAACTATCAACTTAGAAGCCAGAGGCCTTCAAGTGGTGGCCCACCCACTTGTTTCTGAAGCAGGTCTGCAAGGCATAGCTCTTCTCACTGGTCACTTTCTTCTTCTGCAATAAACATTGCAATAAAGATCTACTTACCTATCCCAGGAGAAAATTCTCAATGTATGTTGACAGGTTGACTTTCTATGTCTTGTTATTTGTGTCTGAAAATACTAAACTAGCAGTACCAAGATGCCCGCTTTCCCTCAGCACCTGCTTATGTGCTCAGGGTTAATTTCAACACAGCAACAGCTCAGCAGAGCTCTGTGATGCTTAAGAGGATCCATATGAAATACACAAGGACTGCATGCACACCTTCTACAGAAATCTTGGATTAACCAGATTTGCAGTTTCCAACCACATGCTCCCTCAGGAGCTCCAGGTAACTGAAATTTCTGCCTCAACTATGGTATTTGAAAACTTTTCAGGCCTGTATCAACACAGTTCTTGGCTTTCCTCTGCTCAGCACTACCATCCTAATGCCTCTCCTTAAGCACCCCAGAGCACCTCCCTAGGACCATCTCACTTAGCCTGTGCAAAGGGCTGCAAGTCTAGGATGAATAAGAACCTCAGAAATGTGTTCACTTCACAAAGCAGAGCTAAGATGTGTGTGCACGCATGCACGTGTGCTTTTGCTTATCCAAATGTAGAATGCAGCATCTGATTACATCAGTTAACCTCTTCAGTGTGTGCTGCTCACCTGCTCCCACAGACCCCTGGGCCCACTTCTTCCTTGAAAGAGCAGAGTAGGAAAGTCACTCTTCTTCCCCAAGTCCACCAGAGCTGAAAAAGCTCCCAAATTGCCTTCTGGAATACAGATACCTGGCTTTTCCCCTCCTTCTGCCTGGCCTTCCTCTACTTGCAGATGACATCTCTGACATAAGTCAGCAACATTTAGGCCTGGAGATACAGGTGCCCCCAGGGATCTACAAGCTGACAGGTGTGCGCTCTGCAGGAGCTGGTGCCTATCCTAGGCATGCAAGGAAAGCAGAGCCAGAAATTTCCCCTGGCTTCTTCATTCTGTAAGATACATTTAGGCTACAAACGCCATATCCACTTCCTCCCACAGCAGAGCATTGCATTGACCTACACCTGCCAGATTTAGCTCCGTGGCAATACCCACATCCACAGGCAACTGTTGGATCTTGGCAGAACTCCTACTTTCAAGCTCTTGTCTCTGGCCCGATTCTACTCCACGGGTGTCTTCCACAGCTGACTTACTCCTGGTTGGCCGCATGGTCTTTGCTGGGTTTTGTGGTGGTTGTTATAATATGGTGGTAGATTTCTTTGAGATTAGGTCCAATTAGAATAATAAAAGTCCATCAAGTTAACTGAAAATCTTGGACTATAAAAAGGAAAAGGTTTTTTTAAAAAAACAGACGCTGTGCTTAGAGGAAATTTCTAAACTCTTATCTGTTATTGGAGATGGGGGCAGAGATTTGTAGAAAAACATTTCAACTTACTCTGAAAGACAAAACATCAGGGAAAGCCAGCTCCAAGTCTGCTCTAATTCTTCAGGGTTTATAAATTTATGGCGGCTGTCACTTTATAGCAAGCCGTGTAAGAGTCCTGTTTCTACAACCCCAAACAGAGCCTAGCCCAGGAGGAGCTTGACTTTCTTGTCCATTTGATGCTCTTGTTGGTGGAGGTGTGTCCACTCCCAGAACCCTGTAACCTTAGAGTGTGAGAGAGGTCCCAGGGCAGTGTTCCCGTCTCCCCATCTCCAGAGAGGCCTCGGCTAGGGCTATGGGAGGGAGACCATTCCCAGAGCTTCTTTCCCCTCACGGAGGTCACAGCCACTGCCCAGGAGCCCTGGGGGCCAGGCAAAGATGGCCTCTGGAGTTGCTGCAACTGCTCATCATTTGCCACCAGCCAGCTGTACAGAGTGACTAGGTGCCAGGTCTCCACCAACCATACTCAAAACACGATTTTCCCGGACACTTGAGGGAGGAGCAGGTCCCAGGAGAAGATGACCCAGAGGAAGAGGAGAAAGGGAAAGAAAGAGGGGGAAGGGAGGAGGGAGAAACTAAAACTGAATGGGTTCTTGTCTTTTAGCTGGGAACCAACCACTATAATGCTGTTTTCCATGAAAAAAAAATGTGTTCTAAGTTGCCAACGATGAAGTTGGATATTTTCTACAGAAAGCCAAACTCGCCAAAAAAAAGAAAATATCAAGCAAGCATTCAAGAGAAACAGAAGTTTGTATGTTTAAAAAGATATCTAGGTAGAGTTTTCCATCAAAATCGAGCTGAATTAAGCTTTTTTTAAGTTGGGATCGGACACCCCGAGATGCCCTGGCATAACAATTCATCCTTGACTTGCTGACCGCTTTAGCAAGGTCACTGGTACAGAACACATGAAAAAAGACAATCATTGTAGGAAATAGGACAACAATAGCTGCTTCTACCTCCATGCTAGTATTAGGGTCAAGATCATCACACTCTGACTCCTCGGAACTGTTGGTCTCCTTGGTGGGCAGCATGAGGAAGGGGGAAGAAAGAGAACACAGTTAGAACACAGGCAGCGTTTGTCAGAGAGCGAGGAGAACTTCAGAGAAGCGGGGCAATGGGGACTCAGGCAGAGAGAAAACCAGGTGCTTCTCAGATGGGGTGCGAACCACCGAGGGCGCAGCATGCTCTTTTCAGGGAGACGAGGCGGGCTCATGTCTGGCCACTCGTCCCACAGGAAACAGCAATGGAGGCAGCTGAAGGCAGCATGGGTGCTGTGGAATTTAACTGTGGTGTTCTGGGAGGTTGGACTGCCCAGATGAAGGTGAAGGAGAGAATATAATTTCTTTTCCCCAAGAAGGACGTTAGAATGGGTTTTGGTTGTTCTTATTTCGCTCAGGAAGGGAGAAAAGTGCCAGGTAGATAATCACACATTATAACCAAATTAAACAACAGCAGCTAATTCCCATGGTTCAGGGGCAGGGCTTTTCAGAGGGCCCAACTTAAAACACATCACATTGTTTCAAGATGGCGGACAACACGGGTCTGCCCAAGCTTACAGTCGGTGAGTTCACAGTGACAGACGCATTATTCGGAGGCAGTAATTTGGGCCTCATCTGTGTGCCTCCCTTCCCTGCCCATGCATAGGCCTGAAGGTGATATCGTCTGAATTCTGGGGAAAAGAAATGAAACTTTACCAAGGATGCAGTGGCTCTTACATTCCAAACCTCAGACTTCACAGCGTTTGGGGTTTGGAAAGCATCCGTAGTGTCTTTACCCTGCATGTATTTTTAAACCTGGGATACTGAATGGGCAGCTTTGAGAACTTTAGTATGAATCAAGCACCCTGCATTTCTAAGAGAATAACGCTGCAGATAATTTTTCTACAAAACATCTGCACAGGATAAAGAGAAAGGCATAAAAGAAAAAAAAAAGAGAGATACTTACTTATTTGAATCGAAGTTGCCAGGAGAAATAAAAGATAAAAAATAAATTGATCTTGCATGCAAAATCCTGCTAAACTACCTCCCCTGTGGTCCCCACATTGGGAAAAAAAAATCCCCATCCACCCGAGTTGTCTCGTGAGAATGCTGCAGGGTGGGAGGAGATGAGAGGTGGACATAGCTCCGGAACACCTTACTCACTTTAACAGAGACTTTGTTGCCCAGAATATCCTTGGGTTTACGAGGCCCTGTGGCTTCATTTTTACCCGTGTTCTCCACTTCCGCCCGCTTTCTCATGCGTAGAGTATGCCATGAACATGACTTCCTGTTGTACCAAAAAATGCACCAATCAAAATGGCAGGTCAGGGCAGAGTGAGGCGCTGGGTGGGCTTGCCACCCTTGGGTGAGTCAGCAGGTGAGATGCTCCAGTCAAGCCCCGGCTTCAGAGGCCCCAAACCTGCAGGCCAGCTCCTGTGGTGGCTGGCAGCTGATCTCACCTCCAACGGGAAGTAAGTGAGGATGACCCCTCCTGATGGATGTGCACAGTTGGCTGCAGCATTTGAGGAAAAGATGAGTACTGGCCTATTAAACTCTACCAAGGGAAGTTTTTATATCATACTGATAAAGCCTTATAGGACTGAGGAATTCTCTTCCTGAAGGGTAGGGTGGATGGGGAAGAATAGGGAGGGGAGCGGGGTGGGGGTAAAACAGGGAAGATAAGAGAAGTATATTCTAATATTCTATAGTGCATAAGCTATTAACACTTTCCCAGGACCAGATACAAAGACCCAGAAGGATGATTTTGAGGTTTCCAACTCATTATTTGTATTTGGGCTGTGGCCACTCGCAACACTGTAGTACAGATAGGATTTTCTGGGGCATTTGACTTAATAAACAGTGGAGCACCTACTCATTTATCTGGATATTTTAGGATGCAGCGTTTCTCGGTCTGTGTGCTCCACATCACTCAGTGTTTGTGAATACCGGGCTCTGTCAACCACTAAGAGGTCCTAGAGTTTTCCTGTTGGGAGAAGACCCCATACGTGCTCGCAGGGAGGCGAGGGCAGCAATGCCCCTTCACACCATCCTGACTTCTTTCTTCCCCTGAGGGGGCTGGGAGCTACTTCTTCACAGACCTGTGAAGAGAAGCTCAGAGCAGAGCTCTTGAGTTCCAGGGAAGTGTCAGGACTCAAAGATAAAGACGCCAAGGCAGTGACCCTGGGCAGGCATCATCGATTTCAGCTGTGGTCACAGAATCTGGATGAAGCTCTATCATTGTCTGGAATAAGTGACGTTGGTTTCCCTTCGGTGTCTCGTTGTCAAATTTAGGCAGTCAGGGTTCAATGAAAAGAGCCTTCATTAAGGGAGATGGGGAAGAGAGAGGCATATGAGATTTGGGAGGAAGGAAGATGTTCCAAAAGGTATAGCGTCTCCTCCACAAAAGTCCACGTGTCAGGAATTTTAGGATCCCCTGAGGAAGGTGTCCCCAAAATATTTGTCACTAACACAGATACTCAACAACCAACTTTCTGAGTAGGAAAGAGTAATCGTAGGCATGTTTGCAAATTTTGGGGGCAAGGGAGCTCCTTCAAAAGGCAAGAATCTCTTGGCCAGACCTTCTCCTATAGCTGCTAAATAGGCAGGCTCTCTGGGATCCCCTGTATACTAGCTCCTCACTCCAACTGTTGTATCTGAGTGAGACCCAGTCAGGGAAATTAACCTTAGATAACATCACTCTGTTAAACTTCAGACTTTCATCTCATATTTTTACCCAAAACTCATGTCCCTGGCTCATTGTGAGAATGGCTTGAGTCAGGAGGTGTGTTCCTATGTTTATTACAACCCTCTGGGTCATTCAGAACGCTTGGTGAGAAACTGGAAATGTTACAAATAATGTTCAGAAGGAAGACTCAGAGTAGTACAAGTGGCAGGACAGGCTCAATCTCATATTCTTCTTCCCAGAAGAACTCGTCATCATGGTTTGGGGAGCTTCCATCTCTTGCCCATAAGCCCAGGGAGCAATGTGGAAACAGGGTTTCGTGATATTTATACTGTAGGCATCACAACCACCTCTGACCCCTGTGGTCATAGCAGGCCCTGGGGAGGGTGCAGTGAGTGTCCTTCACTGACAGATACTCACAACCACTTTTAGTCAGTTGCTCTGCTCCACTCCCACCAACCCTTGCGCAAGAGCAGCAGACAATGAACCAAAATGACCAATTTGTATTTGAAATCTCTTCTCTTTCACCCAGCCTGACACCCCTCCTCCCTTCCCTCCCATGGAAGGTGTGAAAAAGTGACCAAAAGACCCAAAGGTGAGGAGGAAGAAGTGCTGAGTGCCTGGATAATAAGATTACAAATCATATGTTAGCTCTGTAAGGCCGGTGATGAGTAAGAATGTCACCGCTTTCAGGGTCTTTATTCCCAAGGCTTCTTAAAGGGTACCCAAACCAAGTGTCTTTAGAATAAAAAGAATTGGGCCTATTGCACCTTAGAGGCCACTACTGATTTCCGGGTGGGCCTGTGGTTACCTAGAAAGGCCAGGGTGAGGTCAGTAGCCTCTATCCCTTGATCTAGAGAAGGAGCCAAAGAAGCTGTTGGTGTCCCTGCTCAGATATCTTACGGGAGCTCCCTCCACCCCTGCCATGGATGACCGCACAGCATGGACAGCGTGGGGGATGCAAGCCAAACACAGCCTTCTACTCTAGTCATTCACTGACGTCAGGACCTCAAGGTCACCCCGTTGGACAGCATCCAATCTGCATCATTCCTCATCTTAGGGGTTAGAGAAAACCAGCAAGGGCTGTTTAGAAGGGAAAGCTAAGGTTGGAGCTTTAGCAACAAAGGCACTTTTTGTGTTGGAAAAAACTACCAATGCATTCAACCAATTCCTAAAATACAGACAGGAAAAAAAAAAAAGAAGAAGAATCGTTTGCACATTTAAAAGTCCCAGAATAGTGAAATGGGGGAAACAGGGTCAACTAGTTTTGAACCTCATTAAAACATGCTCATGGTGAAAATTTATTTTACATATTTAAAATAGTACATTTAAAATTATTAGTTACATTACAGGTACAATGATGGACATTGTGACTCTCCATTATATTGCACAACCTGACTTCATCCATATGGGTTTCTTTAAATAGTGCAAAATACTTTATACAGGAATGTGTTCGGAAGGGTCTTCGCAACCAAAATAAGGAAAAGAAATATCTTACAAATTACCATGAACATATATTAAAGTGACAGGGGAGGGGGAAAATTAAAAAAAAAAAAGAAATTACAATCTGTACAGAGGAATTGCCATAGACAACCAAAAAGTTCCCTCTCTCCTGGGAGAAGCAGCGGGGCCTCTGACCTATACAGGTCTGGCATTTGTGCTAAGGTAATTTTTTGGTGTCAATCAAAAAAATATATATATATCAGTAACTTAATACAATATAAATAGAAGTCCAGTCCAGTGAATCCTGTGGTGGGTCAAATGGAGCAACGGAGGGCATGCCTTTTGTCATTTAGGGTCTCAGTAGGGTTCTTTTCTTAACAAGGGGGGAAAAAGAAGGGGAAAAAAATGAAGAGAAAATTATAAACGAAAAGGAGAGAAAAATCACTGCCACTACCATCAACAACAAAAAATCGGAACAATCCAGTCTGGATGCCCCATGCTGCGTGTGGTTCCAGCACTCAAACCTCGGTTCCAGTAGCACTGTCGAGAGTACGCAGCAGTAATTCCCTACCGTGTGTTTGCATTTTGTGTTCTTTGTTTGTTTTTGAATTTTTTTAATCCACATACTCCTCTCCCGGGGAAGCCAACGAGGCACTTACTTGATGCTCCCGTCACTATTTTCTGCTGCTGCCGCGGCTTTGGTGAGGGGTGCCAGGATGCTGCCTGGGACCCAGCCCTCGGCTGCGGGGGAATGGTCGCTGGCAGGCTGGTACACCAGGCACATGTTCTGCTGGTTGACGGCGAGGACCTGGACCACCTCACCTTGGCTCACACAGATTTCGTTCTCCTTCAGTGCATAGTAATCTTTGATCACGGCCATGGACGAGGTCCCATTGCAGCTTCCCAGGTCGCTCTGCTAGGAGACAAAGGCGAGAGGGACACAGACACAAGAAGGCTGGTCACATGGGCTTGCTCTGCATCCTACTGTGTGACGGAAAGCCAAACCTCTCCACTAGCAGGGTAAATAGGAGTAATGAAATTATATTCATAAATGTGCTCTGAAAATTTTTTTTATAGTAATGTTTCATACAATATTATAAACACACCTTTTTCCTGGAAGTCCTTCCCTAGCATGCACCCTTCCTGCCAGTAGCTTCTGACTAATGGAAGGTAGAGCATGGCACTGGCACAGGGATCTGTATGCACCTGGGCAGAGTGAGGTCAGGGCAAAGGTCAGGTCAGGGGTCACAACCTTCCAATGGAAAAAACACAGACCCTTTGATACATTTTTTTCTTCATTTCGAAAAAGCGTTAGTCTTACTCTACATTCAGACCCTCCTTGAGACAGGAGTAACAAAGAGATATTGCCCAGTTCAAAGGCAAGGCCATGACCTACCCTGACCCAACTCCTATGGGGAACGGAACTCCTTTAGCTCCCACCCCCACCCCTGCCGTATTCATTAATCTGAGAGGTCCCGCCTCGGTGGCCTTTTCACATGACTCTACAGCAGGGAAGCTACTTCCGGACCTGTAACTCCCAAGGGGGCCTGGCTGCCTCACAGAGCATGATGAGAATCAGAAATTCTTCAATAAATTTGACAAAATGCAATGTAACTTCAACTTATTCACAAGGGCAGGGGGGTTTTATATGGAAAATCATTTCCAGGTGATGTGATGAAATAGGTTGGTGCAGTTACTCTAATGCAGAATTGACTTAGACATTAACAGTTCATTAAAAATAGTCAATGTCATCTAATAATTTGGGTAAAAAGAACAAAACTACACAATCAAACTATGCAGGGAGGTAAACAATGTAGCTGTTCCTATTCACAGACCCATTGAGTTCCAGAGGAAACTGAGGCCTGATAAGATGAACTAATTCGCTGAGGTTCTAGAAAAGTGAGTTGTAGGATTTGGGATAGAAACCAGATTGAGCCAGAGGGAACTGGTCTACCTTACTCAATTTTCAGGGGAAGAAAGAAATAATTGAGACTAGTCTGTATTTAGTGGGATGTTCCTGCTAAAATCATCAGCATAAAAAGACGCTACTTCCTAAAGTGAGCCCTGAGGCTGTGCCCTCAGAGTGGCGAGGGTAGGAGTCATGGGAGTAATGGGCCGTCACTTACCTTGCTGGCCTCAAACTTGTCCCCAGGCTGGTGGTAGTCAAACCCTGGACTGCCATTGGAGGTAGATATCTTCAGGGGTGGCAGAGGCGGGTTATAACTGGAGCCCTTTGGGGGCTTCTCAGAGCCCATGGGGACAGAAGAGTAGGGCCTGGGGCTGGCTTGGGGGGCCCTTGCAGGCTGGGACCTCATCACGGCTGTGCTCCTTTCTTTCCGCTGATACTCGATGGGCGACTGTAGTGCTGCAGGATAAGAGCAGACAGTTCCTCTGAGCTTTGGGAATCCCACAAGGATTTTATTCAGTGTAGGCTTTGTGCCAGGTACAATGGAGATACATGAGGAAGACACTACCCTTGTCTTCAAGGAACTTAGAATCTCCTGTGATAACGAAGAGACCTACCTAAATAATGAAAACACAAAAACAAAATGGTGCCATGCATGAGGTGCAAAGTGTTGTGCAAAAGGAAGAAGAGAACTCTGTAGTAAGTGTACATGCTGGTGCACGTACGGACAGGTGGTGGGGGGGGGGGGGTAATAAAGAGCTTCAGAAGAGTGCTGGCTGTCAGACCCTGACATGCAGACTCTGCAGGAAGGAAGCAAGTGTGAAGAGTGTCTGGGGAACAGGATGGAGTCAGATGACCTGGAGCACAGGGCCATGGGTCTCCATGGAAGAGGAGGAGACAAGACAGGTAAGAGAGGGTGGAGGTGCCATGGTGCGAAAGATCTAGAAAGCCAAGGTTACTGAGTCTGGATTTAGTTCTGAAGATCAGGAAACGTGACTGGGTTAAATCAACTTGAACGTTTTAAATTCAGATTCTATCACCAGAGCCACACTTGAAGACAACTGACCTTGTAGCAGTTGGGAGGAAGGATTGCAGAGGCTGATTCAGAGGCCAGGAGATAGTGACAAGCAAGAGGCCCAACCAGAGTAGAGCCTGTGGGCATGTGGGAGGGATCGAGTGTGGCAAGGGTTCCGGAGGGAGACTAGACTCTGACCCAATCCAGATGTGAAGAAAGGCAGGCATCGAGGGGTACTCAGGTTCAGAGACTGGGAGAATGGTAGTCAAGGAGACAGAGGAAAAGCTGATTTGAAGGGAAAGATGTGAGCTTTGAGTCTAAGACAACAAAGTTCCAAGGTCTGAGTATGAAAGAGGTACAGCCAGGCAAAAGCTGCACAGGTCAAATTCTGTAATAAGGACTTCAAGGGCTGGCCTGATTGTGTTGTTTCCATCGGTATTCACTGTAAGAAATATTTAAGTGGGTTAACAGCTGGGGCCCAGAGAACTTTCAATTATAAGGCTATTTCTATAATGACAGGTATACACTTAAATAGGACTCAACATAGGGTCACACTCCCTTTCTATCTGACGTCTCAGGAGGGAGAGATGGGCTCAGAGATGCCTACACATATCTTTGTAAGTAAGAGCCTGGCCCTGGACCCTTGTCACAAGCTTGTCTCTTGAGTGTGTCAAAGTATAGAACGCGCTCCTGTCAGAACTCAGCCTTTCTCCCTGGAGAGTGTTCCATAGGCATTAAATATTTAGGTATTGATAATCTAGTTCAGTAATAGCTCCATAATTCACTATAATTAGGAGAACGGTCTCTTGGAACCATACAAAAGTCTGAATCATTGACTATGCCCAAAGAAATGCAGTTCTAAGTCTTAAGGAGATAGCAGAGTTGTGAAGCAGGCCTTGTCAGGCTGACTTTATGAATCAATACCCATCACATGGAATTGGGGTATTACCTGATTATATGCAATAACTGTGCTAAAGCATTTGAAAATAGTATATATTCTTAAATAGGCTACATAGGGGGCCTAAGTTCTTCCGCCAGCCTCAATTTGCATAACTTGGGTCTTCGGATAAAGAAAGCCGTGCATCTTCTGACAGGGTTTGTTTCCAGCTGATGGATACAGTGTCTTATGGCTGATTCTGTTTCTTTCTTTGCTTTGTTTGCTAGGGAGCTCATAGATAAATGTGTGCCTTACCACTAGCATCTATGCTGCAGTTCTGTGGTTAAGAGCCTAATTTCAAATTACATGGTTACATGTTCAAGTCCTTGTTCTATCACCTACTGTTTTTGTGATCTTAGACAAGTTTCTTAACCTCTCTGACCCTCTTTTTCCTCACCTGAAAATACAGGATAGTACTTTTCCATGTTGATGTGAGGATTAAATGGGAACTACATTCATGTGAAATGCTTAGCATTGTGCCTGGCATAGAGAAGGGACTCAACATATGGGAGCCATTATTGATACTTCAATTATTTCTGGTCTCAATTTATTGTTGTACCTTATTTTTCTTTTGTCCTGAATTGATGAACTTAAAAACCCCATTCCAGCCCAGACTGCCAGAAATTCCCAACTAATAAAATGCAACTTAATCAGTGCATTTTATATATGCACATATTTTTCCATGAGATTATTTTCTCAACACAAGTGTTAATGCAAAGTTGTATGCTCAGAAACTGTAAACTATATACAACTTTCATTACTAACCCTCAGGGCTGGGCTGGTGTTTAATCTTAGACTTTTTAGAATGAGAAAAAACCCTGGAGATCACTCAGTCTAGTTTCTTTTACCAAACTGTTCTAGAGTTGGGGGGCCAGGGGGCATGATCCAAAAATACTCTGTAAGCGTGAAATTGCTTTGAAGTCTCATGTTTTATCTTAAAAAGCCATGGCATCCTGCTGTATAATTTATTTTTATTTGTAAAATAAAAATTTTATTTTTATTTATTTATTTTTATTTGTTTTATTTGTAAACACAATGTGTTCACTCCCTTACCATGGAGTAAAACTGATACTGTAGGGAGGTGTGCCGAGTCTTTCTGCTTCCGGTACTGCTGGCACAGTATGGCACATGCCAGCGTGGGCAGAGATTACTTCTCCTTTTCACAAAATGAGCCAAGTGAGGCCCAGAGAAACATCATGACTTGCCCAATGTCCTCAACTAGTATGTCACCTTTAACCTTTCCCCACAGCATTCAGTCCACACTAGACATCCAACAAGTGCTCTATTTCCATCATTTGAAAGACAGTCCAGTTCTGGCAAGAAGAGGTGATACCCCAGAGGGTGGGCCCGTGAGTGTGAGTGTGTGTGCGTGTGCGCACGCGTACATACAGATATATGTGCTACTGAGCCTCCAGGTTTATTTTGTTATCAGTCACATTTTGTGTTCAACTTCAAGCTCCATTTCTGCTCAGAAAGACTTCTGAGCTCATCAATTCAGTGGGTCAAGACTAGTTTAAAACTGTAAACCTCCTTTTATACGACAAACTCAACGTGAAGAAAATCCCAGCAGGGAAAAAGAAAAGAAGAAGTGTAAACACAGTAGCGAGTGCACTTCATTTCATTTCACACACCTGTCAGGGGACTCCTGCAGGGTCTACAGAGAGTGAAACTCTCTGCATAGTCATCATTTCATTCTGGGAAGTTTTCAGGTATTCCTGAAATTTAGAGTTAGCAATCACCTCTCATTTGAAAGGGGCAAGGTTGGCTAGTAAGATGACTTAGCCAGGCTCTCACACCATTGGGAACAGTGGGGGATTTGAGCTGATCTGCCAAATTCCCAGTTACGCTAGACAACACTAAAGAATCTGTGAGGTTGCCAGTCATTCGCCACCAAATGGGAAAACATTTGTCATTGGCAGCTGGCCCCTAAGACAAAGAGGCTGTGCCCATTTCAGACTTTTGCCCCAATATTACCAGTTGGTAGCAGTGGCCACAAGGCATATATCCTACATCAAGGCTATAAGAGAATATCTCTTCTTTTGTAAAGATGGGGCTTCTTTATAATGCCCCATCTGTTCCACTTGCATATTCAGATTCAGAAAAATTCTAAACAAAGTGTTTCTGAAAACTACAAAGCTGGGATGCATATAAAATGTGATCTGGGTTCATAACTCATCACCATGAGCCCAGATCCAAGGAAGCTCAGAGGTGTGAGGTCCCCTGAAAATGGCTCTGCTAGAAGCCAGGCCCAGCACACACCATTTAAGAAGTCTCGCTGTGTTTCCAAGACTTGATTGATGTCCTGCACCCAGGCCTGCTGGATGTCAGCGTTGGCGGCTTGCAGAATGACCCTCTCCGAATTCTCCCTGTTCATGAGTGCAAACTTGCAGGGGTCATTGTCCACGTTCTCCTCCAGGACCAAGTAATTCATCTGGAAGAAACCAAGTTGATCCTTTCCATATTTAAAGGGTTTTAAAAAAAAATCAACAACAAAATACGGTTCCTCAAAGTTTTTATTTCAGGAGATGTTTCCAAAATTTTGCCCTGGCTCTAATAGCTCAAGACTTCGGTTTCTGTCTTTGAGAGAATGACATACTCCTGAAGAAAGTGCAGGATCATACAGAGACTGGCATTTAGGCCCGTCACTTTTTCTCACAGATATTCAACCTTCATGCCCAAAGGTTATTAGGATGAAAGACCTCCAATGTTCTAGATCCTCTCTCATTCCAGTGCCTCTGTCTTAGGGAAGCAGCTCCCCCAAATTTGACTCTTCCCTTCCCCGCTCATCCCCACTGGGATTCTCACCTTGATGCTCTTTTTGAACATGTAGCCTGGGGTGAGTGAGCCCTTCCTGAGCAGCTCACTGAAGATGACAATTTGTTCAAAGAGGAACACGCGCCTCTCCTTGGTCCGGGACTGCATGCCCGCATCCAGCTCAATCACATAGAACGTGTCCTGCTGCAGCAGCTTCCCCTGGGCCGTGAGGGTGCCCTGACGGAAAGAAGGATTGGGGTGAGGCAAGGGAAAAATGGGGAGACGGCCACAGCCCTCTGAGTCCACAGGACCTCTCCCTTTGGCGACCTGACACGAAAAGCCTCAGGGCTCTAGTAAGAGACTGAATTAGGACTCACCTATTCATCTAGGGCAGACATAAGGGTCCTCCAGGGAAAGGGAAAGAAAGCTATACAACTACTAAGAAGCAGCTCCAAGAAAATACCAGAAGGAAGGAAGGTCAAATTATTAGCTAAAAAGATACTCAAGAATTAGCCTGGCCTTTCTCATTTTTTATCAAAAAGAGAACAGAAAGCAGGTGACACTTGGATCTAGAAGTGGCCTTTCTGTCCTTAGAACTCTGAGAAATGTGCTTGCCTGGCTCCCTTGCAGCATGGGCCATGGACCTGGAACCAACCTGTGGCCAAGGGAAGTGATACAGGCGAGACCACAAACATTCTGATGAGGTGGGTCTCTCTCTTCTCCTACTATTATTTCAGGATGAGGAAATTCTGAAGTCTTAGTCTCCTGCTACAGATCAACAGGTAAAGCTGGGGTACTATAGACAGGTGCCCATATTTTATAAGCTGGTAGATATTCTTCTGGGTCCTGTGATCCTTCTTAAAATGCCTCCAGCCTAGGAGGTGGAGCCTATTTGGTTCGCCAAGTTTCTAACCAGATTTTCAGAGACATCTTCACCAAAGGGAATATGGCCCAACCGAGCAAGTCTTCACAGATGCTATCAGAGAGCCTTGCTTTTTCCACTCTTCTGCAAGAAGACGACAACTGATATCTGAGACAGCAGCCAGAGGGCCTCCTCTGAACCATACTCTCTCAGGTGACAAATTTTGCCCTTTAGTGAAAATGTGGGTCATTCTCTGCACATGATGCCTTATTCCAAACATTACCCAGCACATGAGTCATTCTTCTTTTGTGTTCCTGAGAAATGCCTGCCCTCTGCTTGGATCATGAGCCCTTATTGTCAAGGTCAGCAGCCAAACAGGCTTATCACTACCTGGGTCCAAAGTTAATATTAAGCCAGTGACTGGCTAGCCAGGAGAGCTCCAACAGCTCTGTTGATATTACGTAAGAGCTTGATTCTTCTTGATTGTGAATGAAGGAGGCAGAGGAGGTGGGCACCGGCCTTCAAAGGGAAGCTGCCTCACAGCCTGGGTTCCTGCTTCCCAGAGGAGAGAGGGCTTACAAGCTTTCTTAAGAGCTCACCTCAAAGCCCTGCAGGCGTCCCAGATTCATCATGTCATTGCAGCGTTTTGGAACAAGGCACATTAACTCCACTGCTTTCTGTGGGAAAGAACAATAGCAGCTCAGGAGGGGGAAGAGCACTCAGGCGGGAAGCTCAAGGCAATTCTGTGCTGGAAGACAGGGACCTCCTGGCAGCTCCTCAATTCTAGGAAAGAACACTGGTCCCTCCTGGCCACTCTCAGGAGTGTCGGATCTCCTGTTCTAGGTTGGGGGGTGTTGGCCATCAGGGGCTCCATGTGAATCAGTGACCACATGTGGGGAGAATGCTCCCAAGCACGCCCTTTACCTACCTTCCCACTTCTGTTTATCAATTTTTCTTCTCTTTGTTGCTTCCTGGCTGCCCAAGCAACAGCTTAGCATGACTTGTGAAACACTAGAGGTTTAAATCTAAAATAACCTGCCAGAATAGTTGTAACCTCTCTGGCTTAAAATAATCGCCATGGTGATGTTGTCTCAAAGGACTTCACTTAGGGGGTAATCCTCAGGGTGAGGGAGGGAGTGACAAAGTTATACTTTATATGTTAGACTCCAAGAGTGCCTGGATTCATGTATAAAATTGCACATGGAAACACCCAATCTCTGAAGGATGTTAGAGGGCTCATATACCTCCCTTTCCCGACACATGGCACTGGGAGCCACAAGGAGAACACCAGCAGGGCTAAGCTCTGGTCTGGCCCAGGACAGAATTCTCGAGTTCTAGAAAAACACTCAATGTGTTGATTAATACTGGCCATTCTTCATGCTGCCAAGCAGCTGTTTGCAAGGGGCTCTGACTGTCTGAGAGGAGTCAGCCTGGACCCTTGGTCGTCCAGAGACAATCTTTCCCCTTTAGAGACAGACATCCAATATCGTCCCTAAGAAGAGTCAGCATTACACGCAGAAAACTCACCTCAATATCTGAACACTCCAAACCAGCCTTCTCGCTGTATCTCAGGAAGTCCTAGCAAGTGGAGGAAGCAGGGAAGGGTGAAATTGTTGCGAAAACAGAGCCCTATAAAAAACTTAGCATCATAAAACCATGATAACACCCAGAAGACTTTCTTTCCCAGGAGAGAGGGCAGTGGTGTCTAGTAGCTGAGATATGAAGTTATGAGTCACGTTGGACATGATGACATAGAGAAAACCCCAGAATAATCAAAGATTCAAAGCTATGGGAAAAGGGAGGGACGAAGGGGACAGAGAAAGTATGTGAGCAGGGAAGAGGGGGGGTTATGACAAGAAAGGAACGGAGAAAGGAAGGTAAATCTGTCTCCCATTTACCTCATGCCCCTGCAAGGCAAATCAAATTACACCACTTTCAAAAGTAAAATGTGATCAAATTTTAGGTATTACTCATCTAAGATTTCTAGGGCCTTGCCTTTCCTTTTCTTTCTCCTTGTATTTCACTCTGACTTTCGCTCTTATTATTTTTTATTTTTTAATGGCACCAAGTCAGTGATGATGACAAAGTTAAGAAAGTGAATTGAAAAAAAAGGAAATGAATTCCCAACCAACCTTAAAGGCAGGAACAACAGGCATGCAATTTATTTGGGGGCAAAGCTGACACAAGTAACCAACAGCCAAGAGGAAAGTGCCCCCCGCTAGCTCACAGGCAAAGTGCAGTGGAGACAGAAGCTCAAGCTCACCTGTTCCCTAACTTAGAGCCTGAGAAGACCCTTCTCCAGCCCTGGCCCAGACTCACAGCTCTCTTACCTTGAGGAGCAGCTGATATTTTGTTATTCTCTGAATGGGCTTGATAAGGAAGTCGCTGAGTGTCAGCCTTTGATTTACCTCCTGTTTCACCTCCTGGAACACAAGAGAGCTACATTAGAAAAAAAGGAATCAAAGACCTGGGGGCTCTGGATCAGGGTTCAAGGCAAAGAAGGCAGGTCTTGGTGTTCACCAATAAAGTTTTAGAATCTTCAAACCATATGAGAGGCAGAACAGTCCACACAACTGCTAATTTGTTATCAACAACATGGAACACACTTTACCATCACCTTCTTACAAGCACTTTCACACCCTGTGTCCTCACCCCAGTCCTGGGGGACAAACTGGAATGGGTATTCTGTTCTCTCTACCACTCCAGGGCCAAGTCGGGAAAGGCAGGCTTCTCCTAGGACACAACAAGCCACGGGGCTGGGCCCTCAACTCAGATCTGCAAACAGTGAGTTGAGAGTTCTTTCCAAATGATGGTGTTGCCTCTCCTCTAGCAAAATAAACACTTCCAGGCTGGGGCAAAATAAACACTTTGAGGTGCCTGACAGAACCTCTGGGAGCAGCAGCAGAGACTAGGAGGTGACTGTCAGCCCCTCGAGGAGGAGGAGGGTCGTCAGCAGGCAGTCTCCAGGGGCTGGTGCGGAAGAACGTGGGCACAGTCTGCTCTGGGGTCACGTGAGGAGGATCGGAGCTTCTGAAGCAGTTTTTATGTTACAGAGTCATTCTGCACAAGGAGGTTTCTCAAAGCAGCCACATGCTGGACCGCCTCAGCTGCTCTCATGCAAAGGCGCTCATGAGAATGTAGCTGAGAAGCTAATGGCTCTGTTAAGGCAGCTATCCCTGTCCTGAGGGGGTCAACAGTGCTGTGTGCGGGCCTCCTGTGGATGGACGACAGCTAGGGCTTCTGAACGTGGTGGTCCTGGCCTGAGTTTCTTCCCCCAGCCCCGGTTCAGCAAAGCCCAAGCAGCTTACTTCAAAGTAGGCGTCGTACTCGGCGACGATGTACTCTGAGCGCGGCTTATTCTGGCAGTACCACACATAGATGTGCAGCTTTCGCTCCTGCAAAGGCAGAGGGACAGGCACTCAGGCACCTCGTGCCTCACACTCCGTTTCAGAGTGCGAGGCTGCTCTACACACAGGGAGAAGGACAAAGATGCAGCCCACTCTTTGGGGACACAATGAGGCAGTTACATATGAAGGATAGAAGAGTAAGTGCAGTAGGCAAGAGCCCATCTTCCAGACTGCCAAGAAGGTTAAAGAAACCAACAACTCAGAAAGGGAGGAGAAGGAAGGGCAGAAGAGAGAAGGACTTTAAAAATGAATGTAACTGAGCCTGGTGGGAAGGGAGGGGGGGCGAAGGCAAACACTCACATGTTTAATAAAGAGCTGTGCCAATCTGTCTTGCTCCTGGATACATTTTTCCAGTTCAGCCAGGAAAAAGCTAAAAGGAGGGAGAGGATAAGAGAAGGAAGCCACATTCTTCAGGACTGTATTATTTCTCAAAGTTGAGATAAATGACAGTGACTCCCCCCAAACCCTACCCCTAAGGTTGGAGGCATGGGGAGGACATGATGGGGAATCCTTGGATTCCCAGGATGCCCTGATCTTCAGGACAATGTAGCACTTACTCCTTATGCCAGTCATAGATCTGATGAATATTCCCAAACACGATTTTATCCTTTCCTCGCATGTCCTCAGGGACACCCTTTTCTTCTATTCTCTTCATGAAGCCCTGCAGAGCAGAGAAATGATGAGTAGAGGACACTCACAGGAAAGCTTTCTGGGCCGAGCCCCACACCACAGTTCCAGGTAAGCAGCCATCACTGCGTGAGTTCCAGGGCAAGGGCTTCTGTGGTCTCTCACTATTCAACCAGGACCTTCCCCTTGTGCAGAATGATCGACAAAACTTTTGTGAAGTTCTGGGTTCCTTTCTTTGTCTCAAGCCCCATTAAGAAAGCAGAACAAAGAAGACAATCATTTGTCCCTTTCCTTTCTCCTAATCCAAGTTAATATGGTCTTTAAAGGCTCAGAACTAGACACATCTGACCTAGAAATAAGTCTTAATATGTTAATACTTTAGATTCTGTCAAATGCTATCATATATAATCTCATTTCAGCTTTCAAATCAAGTTTTGAGGTTGCACAGGCAGCATTTATCCCCATTGGACAGATGAGGAAGCCAAGGCACCGGGAAGTTATGTGACTTGTCTTATAGTCACACCACTGATGTCTGGCTTCCTTAGGTCTTAGTCTCAAGATGCTCAAGCCTCTGATCGTAGGCTGGGCTACATATGGAGGTTGCTGCACCCCTTCCTACCCACATTCCCCCCTTGGAGGAGCGAATAATTTCCCATAAGTCAGAATTCAAGTCCCCTATATGCCAGGCCAGTGTGTTTATCCAAGGTTCAGGATAACCACATACAAACCCCTAAATCAGTAGGTTTTATAGGATGGGGACTTAGAGGGCCAATGTAAGGAACCCTCGGGCGATTCAGATACCAGGCATTCAAGTTTTAGACTTCACATTCTTTCGTTTAAGATGATTAACAACAGGGCTCTACCATCTAAATTATCCATTTACTTTCTCAGCTTTTTCATCCAAGTGTCTAAATCCCCCTAAAGTAAACCCCTGTGGAGAGAGAGCTGCTTTCTTTATGACAAACTTGACTCTCAAATGTGGACTTGTCAACGTTGCCTTACTCGTGGTTTTTTCTTTGTCAGTCTTCTTGGTAGTCATAAGCTGTCCTTAAAATCTAAGGAAACATATAAACCCCAGGATTTCACTAAGAGTGACCTGCTTAGGGCCCATGGTGGCTCATAGCTCTGAAGAAAATATGTCATATGGTTAAACACCAAAGAAAAGCTCTTAAGACAATAACTTGGTCACCTAAAACACCGTGAAATGGACTAGCTCTAACCAAGAGGCTCCCCCATATGCTGCAATATCTGGGGCTCTACTTTCCTCTAAATCTCTTACAGTATTTCAAGGGGAAAAGAAAAAAAATTACCTACATACTCTATTTGATCTATTACCATTTTTAGTTTCATTTCTGCAAATACCCAGGCAGAGTAAAACACACACCCTCAAGTTGAAACACCTCAGCCCAGGTAGGGTCCAATATGCCCCTGGTTGGGTGGCCACCGACCCAGCCTGAGCCATCTACTCACCTCCACCACAATCCCCAGATCCTTGACATAGTCTTTCTCTGTCTGTACCAGCTCGTTCAGGACAAACCTGAGCAGGAGATTAAGAACAGTGAGGGCTCCTCTTTATTGTGAAGCAAGAAATCTTCACACTTAAGTTCACAGGAAGGTTACTTTGGCAGCTTTACGACAAGACCACCCCAAACCCCACATGTGGCACCCCTCGGGAAGGCGTTTACTATAGCTCTCTCTACGACAGGCTCCACAGAAGAGCTGAGGGCACTGAGGCCGAGAGGGCTTTCCCCCATGGCACACAACAGATAAAGAACACCACTCACAACCCAGCCTTCTCCTTTCTATTCTTGATGCTTCCTCCTCCCTCATCTATAACTCAACAGCCGTATAAACACAGGGCAGAAAGAACAACAACCACTTTGGCAAAACTGAGTTATGAAAGCTTTGAGGCAAAGGGATCAACACGAGACTGTTATTCCTTCATTTCAGCTCCATTCTTCGCTTTACAGGAGAGAGACATTTGTCTGATAACCAACCTTTGAGGCCTCAGAGACACTGACATCAAGTGAAGCTTTTGAGACACAGAAGCTACAATTATTCAGATAGGTATCCATGGTAACTGGTCTGCAAAATCCCCAGTCGAGGCCAGCAAGATTGACTGCAGACAATCTCTCATCACAACCTGGAATGCAGCGACCTCCCCACCCCGCACCAGATGCAGGATTTAACAACTTCAAGGACATCTGCTTTCTTGGTTTCTTTCTTGTTAATGATTTCTTCCTCTTAGAGCATTTACTTGGTGCCAGTTCCTTCATCTGGGCTTTCTCTTGCTTAGAACAAAGTAGGTACTGTAAGCCCTATTTTATATAGATGAAAATACTGAGGCAGTATTCCCCAAGATGACAAAGTGAGTAGCAGAGCTGGGATCTGAACCCAGTTGTACAAGAGTCCAAAGACTCTGCTCTTTCACTGTCACCCACTGTCTGGTAATCTACTCAGACTGGCTCTGGAGTCCCTGAGGCATCAAACCCAAACACTTCTCTTTCCGTCCAGACAGTAAGGAGTTGGACATAAAATGCTCATGGCTGTGCACAGGGGCAGGCTAGGTGCCGTGTGGCTTATTGGAGTCCGACTTGTATTATCTAAGTCTGAAAGAGTTTCGCCTGAAGCCACACAACAGCATTTTTGGCCCGAGTGGCAGAAAGGATAACGTTCTGAGCAGTCAAAGAGGGGCCCCAGGACAAGGGCTGTAATCGTTCTCAATCCAGGAAGCAATTCATCTGGGAATTCTTGATCTATACAGCACAGAGAAGCCACCAGTTCCCTGGGTCTGGGGCCTCAGGGTGATGGGGGGGAAACAAAAGGAACACACGCTTCTTTATCAGCACGTCCGGCATGTTCCACCAGCTCCCTCTCTCTAATACACACAATCATGTGTTGTAGGACACAGGAAGGAACTGGCAAGGCCAAATAAAAGCATTTAAATATATCTTTAGCATGGTCCAATTGCTGGTTGGAAGAAAGTGGTAAAAGAAAACCCACAGCAAAGTTGGAGTGGGAACTTGGGGCGGGAAGGGCCCTCTGGAGATGGAATCCAGCTCTGTCTCCAGGCGATATTTTTATCCTAAGCTATCTGCTGAAAGACTGAGGGCTGTCTTGGGCTTTCCAAGGGCTGGATTAGGTGCTGCTAGTGGACATGGCATCGCTTCACTTGAACGGCTGATGAAATACTTGGGGAGATAATGACACATTAAAAAGACGTTCTGAAAAGGTACACAAAAGATTTAAGTTACATGCATCATAAGGCAGTGCACGGTTAATTGCCAAATACGTTGAACTGATGACAAAGCAATTTTTTCATGTTCATTTCTTATTAGTAAAGGTTATTTACAAAGTAAACGTTATTCTTTGCTCCAACTAAACTTCTTCCAGCTATAGGTTCAGACCCCCTTCTAACCTTTATCTTTCATAATGATAGGGAATGGCTGGTCTTCTCCAGAAAATCCCTCAGAGCCTTTGCACTGGCTGTTCCCTCTGCTGAGAACACTCTTCCTCCATTGCTAATGGCTAATTCCTGACCTCCCTCTGGTCTTTCTGCAAAAGTCAGAATCATTTAAAACTGGAACATGGCCTCATCCATTCTCCTGATCTCCCTTACTCTTTTTTTTTTTTTTCCCAGCTTCTAACATACTACATAATTTATTCTTTATTTTGTTTATGATATGATTTCTCCCATTAGAAGTGAACTTGGAAGGCTGGCCCAGTAGCACAGCGGTTAAGTCCGCACATTCCACTTCGGTGGCCTGGGGTTCGCCAGTTCAGATCCCAGGTGCAGATCTATGCACCATTTGTCAAGCCATGTTGTGGTAGGTGTTCCACTTATAAAGTAGAGGAGGATGGGCATGAATGTTAGCTCAGGGCCAGTCTTCCTCAGCAAAAAAGGGGAGGATTGGTGGCAGATGTTAGCTCAGGGCTAATCTTCCTCAAAAAAAAAAAATAGAAAAAAAAAGTGAATTGGTCAACAAAAACAAAAATAAACACGTGGGATTACATTATAGGGGCTGGCCTGGTGGCGCAGCCTTAAGTGTGCATGTTCTGCTTCTTGGCGACCTGGAGTTCGCCGGTTTGGATCCCAGGTGCAGACATGGCACCACTTGGCAAGCTATGCTGTTGTAGGCGTCACAGATATAAAGTAGAGAAAGATGGGCACAGATGTTAGCTCAGGGCCAGTCTTCCTCAGCAAAAAGAGGAGGTTTGGTGGCAGATGTTAACTCAGGGCTAATCCTCCTCAAAAGAAAAAGCACTTGGTACATAACAGGTGTTCAACAAACATTTGTTGAATGAATGAGTGACTAAAACTTGAAGACAATTAGGTCTATTCTCAGTCTTTTTCTTCTGGACACATAACTGTTTGTTTTCATCTCTTCTCCATGGGGCTCCCATTTAACCGTTTGATGTCCTACTGCCATCTTCTGGACTAAATCTCAGCTGTCTACATCCCTCAGCCTCTAGTCTCACATAGGGCTTACAAATAAACACCTAGGTATCCAGTCTGTCATTGTGCCCATAAATTACAGCAGCATAAAGACAAACTACAGAAAGAGGAATGAGACATCTACCAATGGGATTTTCAGGATAGCTCAGGAGACGGAGAGGTGTGGCGCTGGGCGAGAGAGTGAGAAGAGGGAGAAAAGACAGGTAAAGTGGGTAAAGAAGCAGCAAACTCTTGCCCTTTGGAGCAAAACCAGACAATATCAAGTCTGGAAGCAGGACCATGGCTTAAATGACTGCTCATAGCCCCGTTTGACCTAAGTGACAAGAGTCATGACAGTCTTTGCCAGGACCATCTGCCACCTCAAAGCTCACTTCCCTGATCTGAGTTTTGCTTTGGCTTTACAAAGGGCTGGAACATCAGCTCCAGCTCGGCCTCATCGATGTAAAAAACACCCTGAGAAGCCAAGGAGAATCAGCTTTGTACAAGCCCTAGGGAATTTCCCTTTGGGGATGGTATTTCCCTGCCTCTCTTCCATTCTTGGGGTTCCCCTGAGCACCCATAAAGTTGAGGGGGTAAATACGGAACTACAGAGTTTACATGCCACTTGCTCACCTCCACTATGAAGTGACAGCCCTGCTTCGAGGCCAGGCCCCGGCTATGATGTTTCCTAGGAAACAGTCATAAATGTTCACTTTGCCTATTTCCAGGCAACAGAAGGACCTGGCCTCATTTATTTTTGCTACTCTTCATGTCTATGACCAGGCTAAAGGAGTGATGAGTTTGAAGGAGAAGGGCAGACTAATTAGCAACAGAGAGGGAGCCTTCACGTCTGCCTGCCCACTTCTCACTGTGCTTACAATGTCCCATACCTGGAGCTATGTCCAAGCCTCATTAGGGGCTCTGTTTCCAACACAGAGTTAAACCCTAAACAAGAAAATTCAAGTTTCAGAGGAATTGTGGTTTTGCATTAATGGTATCTGGTACCTTCTTGATCATCGCAAATAATAGAAGATTGACTTCAAATCAGGGTGGATAACTCAAATCTTGCATGACATATGGGTTTTTGTGAAATGGACTGCGATGTGAATTATACTTACCCCTAACCGTTCAAAAAGTGAAGAGGTTCTCTTGAAACTAAGCCCACCGATGGATGCAAAATTAAAACCTTTGGAGAAGGAGTTGAGAGAGGCCCTGGTCTGGTGGTAAAACAGCTCCCTTTTCTTATATATTACTTTCCTACCACTGAGGAAACATTTCCTTAGATGAAACTCCATCAGACTTTCTGCCACGGATTCTCTGATATGGGACCAGAGTGATAGTCCCCTAGTTCCCTGAACTTTGTCATTTTCCTTCTATCAGCATGTTTTAAATTGCTAACCTTGGTTATAACCATACTTTGTCAATAACAGCTGCTATCTCACAGGAAATATTTCAGCCTAAAATCCTTAAAGTCAGTGCCACGATAGCTCCTTGTTTATCAATGCTACCCTGTACAGACCAAGGTCACCTTTACTCTGAATGAATGACATCAATGGAAACACAGTGTGGGGAATCCCTCTCTAATTCTCCCCAAACTTCCCGCAACCCTTGTCCTCTGTCCACTGCACACATGCACACCAGGGTGGAATGTGGGGAAGCCACTTACATCCTGCCTCTCAGGGCCTTGGCTTTCTGTTCTTCTTCCAGGTTTCTAGGAGGTGTGGGCGGGGTCATCCCCTCATTCAGGCAGCCTGCGGGGTCTTTCAAGCTCCCCCGGTATGAGCCTCCTTCCAGACTCTGAAAAGAGAATGACAAATTACCTTAGAGAAGTGTACACTGAAAAGCCATCTGGAAGCCCTTAGGTCCCCCCAGCCTCGCTGCAGCCAACTTGGTAGATGGGTAGCTAAGGCTGTTCTCATGGAACCTTAGCGAAGCACCAGGAAACCAGGGACTCTCATCTCCTGAGGCAGGAAGCCCAGAGCTGCTGCCTTCTCAGGCAGTCAGGATGTACCTGGTGTCAGGGCTGCCAATTTCCCAGACAGAACCGAAACTGTCAAAGTGACTTATCTCTGGGAAAGAGCTCCAGAGGTAATGCTAATCATTGCAATTCTACACCAAACAAGCAGTTAGAAAAGAAACTTAGTTGTAGGACCATCACATGCCAGTTGATAACGGGAGGGAAGTGACAGGAGAATCGCTTGGTAAAATCAGGTTTGTTAAATCAGCCACAATTGTTTTTGAAGAGGCCAATGAGATGTAGACAAGAAGAGGCCAACAGATTCAGCCTTTTCTAAAAACATCTTTGCTAAGGTTATTTACCAATGGCTTTCTTTAATTTATTAATCCCTTTCATTTCTTTTAATTAAGGTGCTGCAGGATTGAGAAATAAATTAAAGGGATTAATACTGTACTCTAGAAAGAGCTAAGGGTAAAGAATTCTAATCCCAGATCTGCTGGTGACTGGATGATCTTCAATGAGACAACTAAAACTGTTTCACGCTTCAGTTTTTCTCCATTTTCAAATCAGATCTCTCTTTTCTACAGATTTCTAAGGAACAGATAGAGACAACAGTGGGACAACCCCTTGATAAATTAAAAGTGCTCTACAATGATGAGTCACCCTCCCCCACCCCCCAACCATGGATAGAACTGTTAAGAATAAGGATATTAAAAAATGGGGTCAATCTTAACATTCCTACAAGTGCCCTGCAAGAAAGATCATACAGTGACATTTGGCATTTCATTATGCAAATGGAAGAAGCAATGTGGATAAACAGTAAGACTGGAGATCAACGTCAAGGTGGTCAAGGTCAAAGCAAATATGGGAGACTAATCCAAGCTATGCATACAAGATGCCTGTCTACAACAGCCACTGTGGCTGAGGAAAGGCTTCACTTTCATAGCCTTTGAGAACATCACCCCTAAGTTTAAAGTCATAAAGATCAAAAGTGTCCAAAAAGGTAGCAAGAAAGAAAAGGCTTCAGCATGGTTTTAAGCAACCTGCACTGGGAATATCTGTCATGAACTCCTTTAGCTGCTATATTTCAACATGGGCTGAACAGAGGTAGGAACAGTCCAAAGAAATGAAACAAAAAACGAACAAGGTGCCCAATGAGCACTATATGAGAACAGGTAGAGAATATTAATTGAAAACTGAAAAACTTAAAGCTGAGAAAAGATGTCAACCTTTTTTTCCCCTACTCTACCCTCAAATCTACAGAATGTGCCAAGGTCCAGCATGAATTTGTTACTAAAAACTAGAATTAAGAGGACAGGGTCTTCAAACTTGAGGGAGAGAATTTCTTTTAACTTGACAAGGCATTTTACAGAACAAGTAGTCAACCATGGAAGTTGTTATCCAGAGAAACAGCACAGGCTAAAAATATAGAAAGGTCAAGAAGAGTTTAGCTAAATTTATAGATTCAGGATCTGTAACCAGTTATTAAGGAAATGAGTGTCTGGTGCTGAGGCTTGACAAGCCACTGGACAGGCAGGCTTTCCAAGGACATGTGACATGTCCCTTGGTGCCATCACGAGAGACAGGCTCCCCAGGCAGATGGACCCAGCTGGTGATTGATCTGATTACATGCCTTCTACCTCCCCTCTCCCTTTCCCCATTGTTCTATTACAGTCTTTGTTCTGCAGCCTTTTGGCTGGCAGGACGCTGGCTGCAAGGCCTGGGAAACAGGCTTACATCCCTGCCTACAAGGCTCTCCCGTGGAACATCCAGCTTGGTGTGGTCCACTCACAACTCTTCCACACAACGAAGGACATCTGAGGAGTCCAAAGTGTCACACAGGGATTTATGTTCCATCTCCTCCTGCCTGACCTTATACGAGCAAAAAAGCCCGAGTTATCTGCGGGGAACAACTCTCTAAGATGGAGCTGAGAAGGACAGAGGCAGTGAGAGAGGAAGAAGAGGGAAGTTAGGGCTTGCCTCAAATAACAGTGCTGACCAGAAATACTTACAACAATTCAAGAGTGACTTCTTCTGAGGACTTGGCTACCTGTGCTAGAGTTGGGATACTGGGTCCCAGCCAAGGGCAACTAGAGGTGACCTGCAACTGTCTGCTCTGCTCCTGGGGGGGAACAGGCAGCGGTGGCTGGTTGATGAGTGGTGGTCTGTGCGGCCACAGGGAGGACTTCTGCCCCGCAGGGGGCTCAGGCCACAAGATTTTCAGTAGACCAAGGAAAACGTGTACAAAGGAGGGAGCAACAAAAGTTGCACAATGGGTGCATCGATAGTCGATCCAAGGTCAGGGAACAGAATTAAAAACAGGATTCAAAAAAGTAGATTAAGTATGGAGGAAGGCCGTCTCCACCTTAAAAATGAACACATTTCCTGTCTGCTGAACCTTGGCTCACATACCCATAAAATGGCCTTCCTCCGGGCTCTCATAAGCACCCTTTCCCCATAAGACCCTCTGAGCAGCATTCATTACACAGTACTGTAATTGATCATTTGTTTCTACTAAAGCAAATATTTATCGAGTATCTATTACATGCTGAATATTTGCAAAGTGTTGGAGAAACAAAGATGAATAAGAGATGGCTCCCTGCCCTCCACCATCTAAGCTACAATGAGTGCTCTGCCAGACAGAAGGGGTACCATGGAGGATGACAAAAGGAGCAGGCAGCTCTATGGTGGGGTATAAGGAAGGGAGAGGCTTAATGAGAGAGGTAACGCTTGAACTGAGTATTGAGAAATGACAAGGATTTCATTGGCTACACCAATGGAAGGACATTCCAGGGAGGAGCAGCACTGTGTGTAAAGGATCAAGCTCTGAAACTACATAGGGCAGCCTGGGAAGCTGAAAGCTGTCCGGTATAGGTAGGATGTAGGGTGCATGTGTAGGGGGTGAGCTGGCAATTAACCATGTGTTATATGAGTTTGGGTGAATGCTGAGGAAAGAAGACGTGGGTAGTGAAATAAACACCCCTGGAGAAGTATGCAGGGATCAGATCATAAGGAGTCTTGTGTGTGGCATCAAGAACTTTACCTTCTAAGACCAGCGATAGGAGAATTTTAAGGAAGGAAGCAACATGATTGAATTTAAGTTTTAGAAATATCAGTCTTAACGTTCCTAAGAACTTTTCATGACTTGGGAAAACATCTCTGATAAAATAGTAAAGGCCAACAGACTTATACTTTATATACTAAGATTACATTATTTTTAAAGGGGCCTAGATATATCAATATTTCAACACTGAATATGCATAGATGATAGTAAAATGAGTGATATAATTTGTGTTCATACTTGTCATTTTTCCAGTTTTTCTTGAATGAGCATATATTGCTTTATTGGTCAGAAAAGAGCTATCACATTTTTTTTTTTTTAAGTAAGAAAAGAAAAGAAAGACCTCTCTGGCAGTCACATAGAGAGATGTCAGACTGAAATCTGGGAGGAAACGGTTGCAACAGTCCAAGCATGAGAGGATTACGAACGTCAACCCTAGGCTATCAGCCCCATTAAGGAGGTTCTGTGCTTGATCTCAGAGCTGGCAAACAGCAGGGCTCTAGGAATTTACTGAACATACTATGGAACTCTTTGGGGGAGGTCAAAGCTCATTTGATGAGAAAACAGGTAAGGGTGCTGGCCAGCACCACATACCACGCCAACCTCTTAGCTGCCCCACCCTTCTATAAAAATTCGTATAATATTCTTTGGACAAAAATAATAGATCGCAGTCATTCCCAGGCAAACTGAGGGTGGGTGTAGGGAAGACCAGTATGTAGTAGGAAAACTGAAGTCTGGATTTTCCAAGCAAATGACATTTCAGATTTGTGACTTTGTCTTACACTTTATTTGGTGGAAATTTAAACTCCTCTATTTCAACAAGCTCGGGAATCTTTTCCACAGAGCGATGCCAGAAGAACCCAGTTCCTGAAAACACACACCTCCATAATGGGTAGGAAGGGGCCATGATTTCCTTCTTTTAGAAGACTCTGAACTTCTGCTAAGTCTACCTTGCCTTTGACAAAGCAAGCCGATCATCTAAAGGAGAGCAAAGCACACACACAGCAGCCTGGCCTTCGCCATGTTCCATGGCCCACAAGGCTAGCCGAGGGAGGTGAATGCTACTGAAGCAGGAGAAGGAGAGAGAGACAAGTCTTGCTGAAGTAGGTAGAACACATTCTCAGGATGCCAGGGCACCAGGTAGACTGAATAAGAGCTCAGTCCTGGCCAGCCCCGTCCCTAAAACCAAGAGGCCATTGGCGCCATCCTGAGCCCAAGGGACTACTGTGATGTGCCACCTGAGGACAAGAGCTCAGGGAAGGAGCTTGCTTTCTTTCCAGAGGCCCAGTCTTTCATCTCAGGCAGGTGGTAGATCCTGGGGTTGCGTAGAGGCACACTAGATTCTCACACAGCCAGGAAGTTCTTGCTCCCCAAACTTGAGTAATAAAACCAAACCATATACATTGTTAAGATATTATCCCGCAACATTCACCCAACCACCAATCTATTGGCTGACCAGTACTGTGTCCCTGTGCCCAGGGTGTGGCTACAGAAGATGAACTATGACACGGTTCCTTTTCCCTGCCTTTCACGATGCAGATGAGGTGGCTAAGAGCTAACATTGGTAGGATGCCTGCTTATCAGTTTACAAAGCACATTCACACCTTACTCAATTATTATCATAACTCTCTTAAGATTAGTTTCAGGTGGATAGAATCATTTTGTTGACAAATGAGATAAAAGAGAAGTTCAAGTAGATTAAGTAACTTCCCCAGGGCTACAACAAGTAGCAGAGGCAGGACTAAAACCTAGGTCTTCTGATTCCTTATACACTCACCACCACCACTGCCAGTCCACATGTCTAGGAAAAGCTTTACTAAAAATCACACAGGGAAAGCAGGAGGAGCCCTTAGTCCTGGCTCAGAATTAAAGAAAATACGTTACTTCAAAACCCAGGAAAAGTACATTAGCTCTATTTGAAGGAGGTGGGTGGGCATCCTCTCTTGGTAAACAAAAGCACTAGTTAAAGACCAAGGGTGGCAGGCAAGAACTCGGAAGTGTCCTTTAATGTCTAGAAGGACTTGCCAAAGGAGATTCTAGGGGGGCTTCAGAGGTTTCATCTGCACTGCAGGTGAGCGGAGAACATCTGCCCTCGTTCCCTAACAGCAGATCTCAAGCAGCAGAGACCACAACTCCCTGGGTGGGAAGCCTTGGTGCAGCCATAACCATGTGACCATAAAACACCAAGGGCAGCTTTGGGACTCAGAGACAAGGGATCTCACAGCTTTCGGGCAGAGCTAGGGGGCCCAATGAATTCTAAGTGCAGAATTTGGTATCATCTCCTGAGCAACCAAAAAAGAAAGCAGGAAGAATCCAAGCCCTAGATATAAAAGTCCAAGCATACCAGATGCTCCTGTAAAATTTCCCGACTCTGTAAATTGGACAGGACCTTATTAGTTCGTCTTATTCGGAACTAAGATAAACTTCCACCCACGGGTCTAGGTTCCGCCCTCCGCAGCAGCAAAGACTGAGACCAACCCTCCTTTCCCACAGTGGTGCTTAATTATTAGGAGACAACTCTCATGTGTCTTCTCTCTCTAACTTCTCCCCACACTGAACCTCGGTTTCTTCAACTTTCCTTCAAATGACATGGACCACATAGTACTGGTTACCTCCTCCAGGGCCCTTCCACTGAGTTCAAGAACAGTTTAGAACGCCATGTTCAGAACCTGATATGTGACTCACACACAACTCACGACAGGTGTGGTCTGAAGAACTTTGAGTACAATGGGGCTATTACCGCCCTTGATCTGTACATTGTACTTTCATTAACCTATGCACCTATGTGTGCCTATGACCACACTGACTATTTCGGCAGCTGTCACACTGTGGTACTTACAGTCAAATAAAAACTCTACAACTTTTACAGGCTCCAGATCTTACCCTCTTCTAAGCTAAAGAGGTGATGAGGAACAGGAATTCAAGTCTTGGAGGTGAAAATGCAACTCAGTATTCTCAAACATAGCTGAGGCAACAACTACCTACTGTTGCTCCATCGGTACCCCATGGTGGGTACGTATTTGGATGGGAAGAAAGAGAAAAGTAGAGGAAAAGACAAAGGCTCAAATTTTGGTGAAAAGATTCTGAGAAATCAAACCACTGCTCCCTCATTCCTTTCCGTGATATGGGCTTGGTTTTATATGTTCGGCCAAAGAAATCTCTGTAATTCTGGGCTCACTGCAGGTCCTCGAGAAGTAGTTATTGGTGGACGAAGTAAAAGCCCTTATTATGGTAAACTCACCACAGAAAGGCCATTCATCCAGCAAACATTTGTTGAGAACCTGTTATAGTGCCAGTCAACTCCACACCATCCTGCACTCCCTCTGCTCTGGGAAATTTGCTCTTATGGGATATTGCCTATATCTGCACTTGCATGTTTAACACCAGACCCATTGACCACACAAACTAGAGGTCCAAACAGACTCCCAATAGTGCTAAGGTGAGCAGTAGCAGTAGGAAAAAGCTAATCCAAAATATGGAAAAATACAGACTTTTGGAAACAAGTGTTTACTGATCTAAGTGTAAAAACTGCTATATACCAATGGAGGAGGCAGAAATAATGTCCTAAATGACTAATCATCTAGCTGGGGAGGCGAGCTGCAAATGAAAAGATTAAGATATTTTAACAAATATACAACAGGACCGTCTGAGAGCTGGCCTAGGCAGCATGTGGCTTATATAGTAATTGCTGTGGGATTCCAAAAGAAATCTGGCCTGGGCTGGTCAGGGAAGTCTTTGCGGAGAGATGAGATTTGAGGGCGACTGTGACAGATTATTATTATGCTTTAGACAGGCAAAATAAGAGGGAGAACATTCCAGAGAAGTGGGGTGGTATGAACAGAAACTTGGAAGGAGGAAAGGCAAGTGCATGTTTGGGGACAGTGAAGAAAACAATCTGGTTGGAGCACAGTTCATCAACCAGCATAACAAGTAGATGTTGGAAAGGCAGGTTGGAGACGAGGCTACAAAACTTTAGAATACTGGGTAAGTGTGGACTCTCTCTATGGGCCAGTGATTTCCAAACTTTGATTATATACCTCTATCAATAAACACAGTTTTGGTCATACACTCCCAAAACATGTAACTTTTTTATAAATTATATTTCTGTGCTATTGTATTATCATTATGCACACAATAAAACACACACAAAGCCATTTTAAAATGATGAGATAAAGAGATTCTAATATTTTCTTTCTGCACCTCAATGAACTGTCTTGTGTACCTGAAGGCACCCCCACATTGTAGACCACTACTCGTGCAGGCAAGAGGGAGGCAATAGCAGCGCTCGTGGAAGACTAGGCAGGAGACGGAGGCCCGGAAGGTGGAAAGAAGTGAGGAAAGATCAAATGGCTACTGCAATAGTCCAGGCATGAGGTTAGGGCCCAGGTTCCGGTAGTGGGGAAAAAAAGATGATTTTTACGGGAAAAAAATTTAAACGATATTTGGAGAATGAAGAGGGTGTATGGATCAGTGTGGAGAGAAAAGGAGAGCAAGTGAGGAGTTCAGACAGAGGTGTGCTTTGAAAAGCTGATGTAGTGTCCATGAGAGCACTCACTTCCCACCAGTGGGACAGGCAGAGATGGCAGAACAATGGACAACCTTCAAGAGTTTGACATGAGTTACTAAAAACATCAGCCAAGAATTATTTTTAACTTATGAAGAAAAATTTAGAAGGAAAAGAAGAAAGCCATAGTTTTAAATATCATTGGTACTCTATAAGCTAGCATATTTGAAAAGGGAGTTACTGTAATCAAAATTATCATCAGGCAGCTTTCCCTAGAGAGCACCCATCATTTTCCTCTAATTCCTGCGCCAAGTGGAGAAGGGTTGAAATGGTGCTGATTAATAGGACTGTCCAGCAGAAGTCTGGCGGAAGCACAGATATTTATCCTAATGAGAGTTGCAGGAAAAATCAAATGAGTGACATGGATGAGAGCAAAGGACAGGAAAATGCTTCAAATTGTCATCCTGTAGTGATACACTTAAATGTAACAACATGGGAGTAGAGGAACAACTCTATCCAAAAAGGAGCTCTTTCACCAGCATTATCATCAGCCTGAACCAGCTCAGACTCATAACCCTTCTCTCCAGTGGTCTGATTGGTCCGTGAGACAGTCACAAGCTGGACCAGTTTTCAGCGGTTTAGGTTCAGTTCTTTCCCCCATGATGGGGCCATGCACCATCTGCCTTAATTTCTTGACGTGAGGTATCCACATACTTTTGCCAATTCTTCTTTATGATTGCAATCTACTGTTGCAAGACTTGCAAGGTAGAAGGCTATCTGAGGTCCCTGAATAAAATTACCGAATGCCTTCAAAGATCCAATCCGTGTTCCGTGTCTTGGCAGCAAAGTCAGCTTCAGCGCTAACCAGACAGACAAATGCCACTTCCCTGTAGGCCAGGGGACCAGGCTTACAGGGAGGCTATTTTGTCTTGGATACTTTTCACCTTTCATTAATGTCACAATCCCAAAACGCCTTATTAATCACCCATGCCCATTCTCAAACAAAGCCAAAAAGGACTTTGGGGCACAGGTTTCTAGAAACCATCATTAGCTGGAAGCAATCCTAGAGGGGGAATGAAGATGAGTGCAAAGGAGAACCTGGCAGACAGATGCCAAGCTCTGAGAGCCGCCTGGAGGTGAGACTCCCGCAGAACTGCCTCCAGGACCCCCACTTACCAGCTTGCTTTTGACCAACTGTTCTATTGCACTGACAAGGTCTGCAGCAGTAGGTACTTCGGTGGAAGCCTGTCGGGCTGCTAGCAAAGAGGAGGACTGCAAGACATTGAGTAGCAAAGGAAAAGCAGATTAGCCAGGAAGGAGGAATAGCAATTAGGAAGCAACACAGCAAGTCCAAAGCTCAAGGCAGGCAAGGGAAGCAAAGCTCTCTGTGCAGAGGGAAGAGATGACAGAGGAGCTAGGGGATCGTGAGGGGGTGGGACAGCCTGCCTGGCCCCTTGTCAGGAATTCTGGCCAGCAGCGAAGTAGGGATGGCACTAGGCTCTCCTTAGGCAGGCCTCTGAAAAAGCCAAGGGGAGCGAGGGGTCACTGAGTTTCCAAGAGACTGCACCCACTGACAGCAACGAGGGGAGGGAGACAGGCAGGATTCTGGCCACTACAGGGCTGCCCACTACTGTTCCAGGGCATGAAAGGAGTCCATAGATCTAACCTCGAGTGATCCAAAGAAAGAAACTGTTCTTGCTTTACTTAGGTATAGATCTTAAATACAGATATCCACTGGGTGTCAAGCAAAAATGCTAAAGGCCAGGCACTTACAGACCAGGAAGCCAGAAACCCCTCCCCGTGCACACGCACACACATGCATGCACATGCACCTCCACAAACACAGCTGTTTCTGGTTAGGCCCCCAAACTGGAACACTAGGATGTGATAATCTGCTTTAGCAGAGCTGTGTGTCTCGTGCTGGAGTGACCAGAGACTATTCAGTTCCCAGTGACAGGAGGGGCCTGTCCCTCTTCCCCCTGCACCAGCAATAAGGACTGGTCCGTGTGGCTGTTTGGTCAATGGTTTGGGGGACTCCTGCTCACTGAGGGCCAGTGGTTTTTTTTCTTCTTCTCCTACTTGAGAAGAAACTAGGGGAGAAATGGTTAACCCCACATGCATGTGCTGGCTTTTTTTTTTTTTTTCCTTAAAGATTGGCACCTTGAGCTAATATCTGTTGCCAATCTTTTTTTTTTCCTTCTTCTTCTCAAAGCCCCCCAGTATATAGCTATATATTCTAGTTGTAGGTCCTTCTGGTTGTGCTATGTGGGATGCCGCCTCAGCATGGCCTGATGAGTGGCGCCATGTCAGCGCCCAGCATCTGAACCAGTGAAACCCTAGGCTGCCGAAGAAGAGTGGGCAAACTTAACCACTCGGCCACGGGGCTGACCCCCGTGTGAGGGCTTCTACCCCTGACACATCACAGCAGAGGGCAATCGTGTTCCCAGGGCCCAGGCCGCTCGCTCCTTCAGTCTCCAACACTAACGACTGTGGGAGCAGAAAGTTGAACGTCCTGGCCGTGCTCTGGCTTCAGGTGTGTCCTTTCGGTTAGAGGGAAGTTTTAATAAGGAAGTTTCTTGTTATCTTATCTGAAAGTTACTTTAGGTCTCTGCTTCTGAGATGGGGTAAAAAAAATCAAATAAGGGGCTGGCCCCGTGGCCGAGTGGTTAAGTTCGCGCGCTCCGCTGCAGGCGGCCCAGTGTTTCGTTGGTTCGAATCCTGGGCGCGGACATGGCACTGCTCATCGAACCACGCTGAGGCGGCATCCCACATACCACAACTAGAGGAACCCACAACAAGAAATATACAACTATGTACTGGGGGGCTTTGGGGAGAAAAAGGAAAAAATAAAATCTTTAAAAAAAAAAAAATCAAATAAATATAATCGAGAGATATAATAACGCTCTTTTTCCTCTCTTGGAGAATGCAGGAAAAGAGCTTAAGTCTATTTGGAAATCCAAGTTACCAATTTTTTGATCTAGCAATCCTATTCCTGGGAACTTATTCCAAGGACAGAGGTGAAGAGAACAAATGCTGTAGGTACAAGTGATCTGTAGCCGTATTATCTAGAGCAGCAAAAACTGGCAACAACCTAGGATATCCCCAAATAGGCTGGTTGAGCAAATTACGGCATATCAAATAGCAAAATACACCCCAGCTATCAAAATGACAGTTATGAAAATCAGTAAGATTTTAGGAAATAGTAAATAAAACATTGAACACATCATACACATATTATAATTATAAAAATAAAACACACGCATGTGAAGAAACATTAGAAGGAAACATGGAGAATTAACTGTACAACATTACGACGGGTGGACTTTTAAAATTTCCTTGTGTACTGCTGTAAAAATTATTTTAATAAATCCAACTCTATTTGCTAGAAATTCTGAGGCTCACCCTACTCCCAAATATTCCAGAAAAACAAACGTTCGGAAATCACACAGCAGGACTGGGGAGGGTTAATGTGTCTAAAAAGGGACTGTTGCCATCTGCCTATTTCTAGCTAAGAAATGGCTATTCAAATGTCAGGGGGTAAGTCCGCATTCTCAGTTAAAAATTACCCAGAAACAATATAACATCCTTTTCCACAAAACATGTCATGTTTGAGGGAATTCAAGGGGGAAGGTTCATGACCTTCGCTTATCTTATGCAAGCTGGCACCTTTGTGTGGAGGACTGTGTGGGATGGCAGATAATGTGACAGGAGCGCCCTACTCCCCACAAACACTATCACTGTTCATAGAACATTTTACAAGAAGAGGCCTCCGGGAACACAGCAGGTTGGTCCTCATACCCATCTCAACGTGAAGCACAGGCCTTTTTGCCTATGGGAACCCAGGATGGGCATTATGCCATCCTTCCTGCTACTTTTCTTTCCAGCAGTCTGGAGTCAGAGCTGGCCCTGGAGACCAGGGCCACCAACATCACTTTAGGAGGGGCCAGAACTGTGTGCTTCTCATGATGAGTCACAGAGGGGGCAGCGACCACATCTTAGTCATCATCCTGTCCTAGAAAATGTCCCTCCAGCTTCGCACAGAGGAAGATCTCAATTAATGTCTGTGGGTTACTGATCCAAATGCAAAGCAGAGAGAATTAAAACAAGAACTGGGAAATCACCAGAAACACAGAAGTATCTGCAAATAGTCCTTGTTGAATTGTATCCTGGGTGGTATTGTAAAGGTTTGTTCCCTGCCTGTGCAGGCTGGGCCCACCACCTCAGAGGAGGCTGCCCACTGTAGGGCAGAGCACTAGAGAGCACAGGGAGACCCCAGAGGGATGGCTGAGCAACCACCCCCACGACAACAGAACGACACTATGAAAAGTAGATGCGAAGTACATCAAAAACTGAAACCACCACTTCAACCTCCAGAGTCCACGGGACAGCAACACCGAGAAAAGGCAAGAAAAACCCAATGGAGTGAAAGCATGGTTTGTAAGGAAAGAGTGATGGAGCACACAGCTAACACAGCCCTGAGCCTCGGGTCAGACCTGGAAGCACATCTCACCTGAGCCTCTGCTCCAGAACAATCGCGATGATCACCCTGCGATTAGAGGCTTGGTGGACATCCAAATTTCAGACACCAGTGACCCTCTGTTGGGCAACTTGGTGTATTAGGTCTGCCCACCTTTAACAACAACCTCCCCGTCACAGCATCTCCATCCCTCAGGCTGTGTTTGCAGAATTTTAACAGCACTGGGCTTGACTGGAAGTTACTGTGATTTGGATTTTAGAGTTGAGTATAGGGAAAACCACCAACTAAAACATAGGTTGAACGGTCAGGTACAACAAACGATCATGACGTGGAACCAGCTCAGATTCCTTTTTGAGACAAATAGTTTTTTGGGGGATCTGCCGCTTCCAAAGGCAGAGCCATTACCCTTCATCAACAGGACAAGACACCAGGCAGATTCCCACTTCGAGAATTCTACACACACCCCTATCCTGCCCAGAATGAAGTCAGATGTCAAGGGTTGGGGGAGGGGACCTCTACTCAATACAGATGGAATCTACATCATCGTGGATTCACATGGTGTAAGAGATAACGAGAGAGAGAGTATTACTACCCCCACCACACACACAAACAAAATCCCATGTTTTACACGTTGCTCTTTCAAGTGAGAAAGTAAAGAAGTCCCACCATCTCGTCTTGCGTGGGGTCATTGTCAAAGATCTTCATAGGCGGAGGGAGGGGGGTGTGTGACTCTTCATCTGGCTCATCTTCACCCCAACCTTTCTTGCTCTTCTAGAACAAAAGAGCAGCATTAGTCACTGTTTCATGTAGTTAAAGATGCCAATGGTTCAGGACTTCGGAATTTTTAAAAAAGCAACATATAAGATACCCTCCTCTCAACATTCCTGTTTTTTCAGCTTCAGTGTCCTCCTCTGTGGAATGGGGACACCTGCTATCTCAGAGGACAGTGAGGCCCAAATGGGGGAAAACACACACATATAAGAAACATCTACCTCATTGATTAGCCGGCAAGAGAGAAAACTGAAACAGCAGTCAGAGAGAACCTAACTTTTAAAGTTTTTGAAGGACTATTAAACCACAGTCTAAGTATCACCAGGCTCTACTGCCATTTTCAGAGGGAGAAATGGCCGACAGCATAAAATCACAGAGGGAGTCTCGTTACACATCAGGAAGAATTCCTTAGTCGTGTCAGTGACTAGAGTAGGTTAGTTTGCCAAATAAAACAGTTATCTCATTTCCCCAACTAAAACCTACCCACGATCTTTTGAACACAGAATCTCAGCTTGGGAAGGGATTCCAGAGGTCATTGTCCAGCCTGACCTCTCAGCTAACACAGATCTCTCCCACTGTTAAGTGACGATCTCCCAAACTTTCCGGTATGGCTGTTCATTCGTTCTCACGAAGGCCCATTTCATCACTGGTTGACCTCCCATTAAAGTCCCTCTTTGAGCTGAGACCTTGTCTACTGTGCAAACCTTCACCTGTTAATCACAATTCTCCCCTCTGGAGTAACCTGGAATCGTCTACTCCCTTTTACATGTGGCTCTGCTCGAAATACTTGAAAACAGCTATAATCTCCCAGCACAGTCTTCTGGTTTCCAAGTGAAATGGTCTCCATTCTTTCATTCTTATTCTAAAAATGCCAAGCTGGTTTGATGTACCCTTTAGCAGAGGCAGGGGACGAGGTGACCAAGTGGCTCTCCTTGGGCCCAGGCCTCCATCTCCAAATTTGGCAAAATAGGGTCTGTCTGCTGGACAGTCTAGCTGCTATTCAGTCTTAGAACTGGTCACAAACCAAATTAACAAGGTCTTGAGAATACAAAAATCTCAGCTCACTTAGGCCCAAGAAGACAAACTACTGAGGTCTAGAAATGGGCCAGTTTACAACACCCGGGGAAGGATGCCTCACAAGGCTCCAGGAAGGATGTATGTCAGAAGCCCTTTCAATGGAAGACTCCAGGGCCTCACGTAAGTACCTCATCAGCACTGTCTCCTTGAGGGGTCGTCTCATCTCCAGGCTTGGGAGATCCCAGGTCGAAGCTCTTCCGACCATCTCGTACTTTCTTCTGCTTCTTGATGTTGCCGTCTGCCTTCCCGCTGTTGAGCCGGCGCACGGGACTCGTTAGCCACTTCTTAAGGGTGTTTGTGGAGCGTTTGGGACCGGGGGAACTGTGGAGGGAGTTCAGGGAGGGCTGGGTCTGTAGGTTGGCCACTGACTCGGACTTGCCTCCGTTTTCACTGGAGGAATGAGAGTACGCATCTGAGGAGAAAGAACAGACAGACGTGGCCGTGTCAGAGGCAGTTAAGGCAGGCTGCCAGCCTGGGAGCAAGCTCCATCCTCAGGAAGCCAGGACGCAAGGCAGAATGTCAAGGCCAGTTGCAGACTCCAGTCAAGGAAACCCTCTTTGGAGGGTAACAAGCTGACACTCAATTTTTAATGTGCAAGGCACAGCTCCAGGTGCTATGGATACAGGAGGGGACAGAAGACAAAAAATCAAGATCCTAATCAAGAATTACCAACCAATAACAATGTCAGGGAGCACCTGTGAGGTAGTATATTCTAAGGATATTTAAGACAAGACCTCTTATCTAGCTACACACACATACACACACACAGATGCAGAGAGGTAGAGAAGAGCGAAAGACCAAGAAAGAGCATGCAAAATAAAGATAAATTCACAAAGCAGTATGTGATTAATTGCCAAAGGGCCGGTATGGACTTGAGGCGATAAGGAAGCAGAGTTCAAAGAAGGGTCAGATCAGTGTAGGCGGGGTTGGTCTGAAAAGGTTTAACGGAAGAGATGTGTCTGAGTAGAAGAGAAGGGAGAAGAAATTCTGAAAGGGGGAGGCAGCGGGAACAAAAGCACAGAGGCAGGAAAATGGAAAAATAAGTTAACACCGCTCATAAGTAGATCCTTTGAATGAAATAAAGATTAACAGAGAAGGAGAAACTGGACAGATTAGCGAGGACATTAACAATAAGCTAGAGGAGTATGAACTTAATTGTGAGACTCTAATGGGAAATGACATGATATAAAGGGGTTTTGTTTGTTTGTTTGTATTAAATTAATCTCATAGCTATAGACAGCACAGCCCTGGGAAGGAGGCATTAGAATTCAGAAGGCCACACCAGGACTGTGCACAGGGAGTAAAAAGGACTGAATATGAGGCATTTCAAAGTAAGAAGTGATACTGTTAGTGTCTGGATGACAAATCAAAGGTGACTTGTCTTTCTGTATGCTGCTGCTTCTCACCAAAATGGTCTTGGGAGAACACCTGACCAGCTCTACCTTGACCTCCGACGGGCCTCGTCCATCACCCCTGTGCCAGTTTGCATACTGATATTTAAATCAAACACATGACTAGCTATTTAAACAAATTATTGCAGTAGCCTTTTACACCTGCTCCTCTCAAGAACTGAATCACCTTTTCTGATAATGACTTCATCCTCGACCTAGACTAGAGATCTAACCTGGCTTGGAGGCCCTCTGGCCTAGACACAGCCAACACAGAAGAAACAAAATCCTGAAATAAAGTGAATGAATGCTTTTGCCAACAGAGAGCTGCCTCCAGCTTCTACAACTAGCTGATCTCGAGGGTACCAAGCTCAGGTGGGGATTTTCTTAGACATGGCTCGAGTTTTGTGCCTACTTTGGAAAACAGCAGCAGAATATTTGCATCTAAGATTGAGCTCCTCAAGTCTGCTGGTACGAAGGTTAATTTACAGGGTTGTCCTGCCCAGGGAATATTTGGGGGTTCACTGACTTGGTTGGTGTCCCTTTAAGGACAACGTTGTAATCTTATCTCAGAAAATTCCTTGCTGGCTGAGGTCTTAGGTATGTTGACCTTATTTTTGAAGTGTTTGGAATGGGTCAAACTCCTGTTCTCAGAGCCTGGGTGATAAGCATCTCCCTAGCACTGGCAGTGGGACCAGGGCCTCTCTGTTATCTTTCTGCTGATAAGCTGCAGAAGCTTTCACCAGGCCCCTCTGATACCAGACAGCTGCTCTGTTAAGTCCAAGCCTTCAAAAGTTCGATTTATCAACACACATTGTGTCAGCAGAGCTAGAGGCCCAGCCACATTAACTGTGCCTTGCGTTACCAAGGAAGACAGATGACTGTCCAAGTTTTTTGTTCCATGGCAAATCATAGTCTGGCTTTGAGATTCACTAACGCAAATTTTGACTGACCTTTCTTCTCCCATGGTCATGTGGTTCTGCTTTGGTGCATTCTGTACAAATTAATGGCAAGAGTATAAATTACCAAGTACAAATTAAAAATCAAGAGTACTCTCAATTTTGTTGTTTCAAGTTTATCCTGTGTAAACAATTAGGGCCATTCAACCACAGCCCACATAAAAGCGAATTCAAGAGTTGGAACAATCTATAATTCATCATCTAGTTTGGGTCCTGTATGAAAACAGGACCATTTCTCAATCACTTTGAATGTGTGGTTATAAAGAATATAGCACGGTTTATGCTGGAAAATTTGTACTTAGTTTATTGCTGCTTCAAAGAATGACTGGCATGTTATGCTCATCCCATCTCTGGAAGATGACTAACTAGCTGTTGGAGAATTTATTCCAGCACCTTTCCAGGCACAAAAGTTAACTGATTTGTAACAACTACAACAATAATACTATTATTTCTGCAAATCTTTCCAAGCTGAGGTAGGTACTATTTATTATGATTCTCATCTTAGGAAATAGAAAATCAGAGAGTTTCAGGAAACCAAGGCTCACAGGTGGTAAGTAGCAGAGAGGTGAGATTCAAAGCCAGATATGACTTCACTGCACAGATATTTAATCTTACTCCTGTATCTGTGTTCAGTCCATATATTCTTTTAGCCTCTATAATTATTGTAAAAAGGAGCATCAAGTTGTGAGTTTATGTAACATTTCAAATGTGCATTTATATGTAATTTATACATGCTATAAAATTTCAATGCTGAAAACAAGTTTCAGTCTAATTTTACAGATAAGTCAATGGAGGTTTCAATTTGGGAAATTCACTGTCGCAATGAGTTAGTCACAAAGCTAGATCCAGAATCCAGGAGACTCTTTGCCTTCTCCATGGCTCCCAACCAATGCCTCGTCTTCAGCCCTGAGGCACAGAAACTGCCCATCAGGCTGATATCTGGTTTTAAGTTTCTGGGAAGAAAAATGTGTTCCTGGGCGCTGTAGGTAATAAGTTCCCCGGATGGTCTAGTGTGTACAACTTGCTTTCTAGATCAGAAAACAATCCTGTTCTGAGGCTGATTTTACTATGAAATATTTTTAAAATACAGAAAAATATAGAAGAAATTTGACACCCAGTTACCCATCACCTCAATATGATGAATGTAAATATTTTTTGCCATATTTGCTTCAGCTTTTTAAAAAAGAAATAAAAGATCACAGATATAGTTGAAGCTTTATTTTTTTCTCCCAGTGGCAATTCCATCCCCCTTTCCCTTCCCAGAGTTAAGTTCTCTTCTGATGTTGGCATGCATCTTTCCCATCCATGTTGTCAGCCACTTATTGCGAGTCCAAACAGTATCATTTTATGCCTTATATTTTGTATGATTATCGTAATGTAGGTAACATTTTGCAACTTGCTCATTTATTCAAAATTATTTGAGCTTTATCCATGTTCATACATGTAGATCTAGTTCATTCACTCTCATTGTTGGATAATATTCTTTCATAGGACATATTGTGATGTCTTAAATGCATTTTCCTAATGATAGACATTTAGGTTGTTATACACACACATATGTAGTCATTATAAGCAATCCCCCACAGGTCTCTGCACATGTGTGAGATTCCCTAGGGTGGTGCTTCCCAAAGCACCACTATGGTGGTAAAAGACCCATTTTTCTTATTTCCAGTCTGCTTTGGACCAATACTTTTATAAAATACAAAGTCACACTCTTGGATGTTGTGGAAGTAAGTTGCTCTAAAAGCTTCTAAACACCAACTCTTACTTTCTGTACTTCTCTCACTGTGGACTAGAAACAAACAGCTCACGAACCTTCACCACCTGCAGATCGCACGTGGAGTAGCACTGCTCTCCACTCTAAAGCATCTAAAGCAAGTATCTCAGGTGGAACTGCTGGCTTTAGGGAATACACATCACCAGCTCCACCAGGTATTGTCAGATCGCTCTCTGGTTTACTCCCACCAACTGAGTGCAAAAGTTCTTGTCTTCTTACATTCTACCCAATGCTACATTATGTATACTAGTACACAATTCTCCTGGAAAAATTAAATGTGTCCTCCCTAACCAAAAACATTACTTCAAGGAAGTCAATTGAGATAAAATAGAATGTTTTAAGAAGAAGAAATGAAAAGGTAAAAACCAACGCGTCCAGACCAACAGGAAATGCACCCTATTGTTGACTTCTCAGCCACAACTGGAAAATAGGAAGCTTGGCGGGGCAATCCATGAGGCTAAAGGTCCAACCTCATAGACCTAGTAGCATAAGCTTACCTGTTTGGTCATGAAATCGAGAAAATCTAAATAAGCCAACAAACTCTTATCCATGAACAGACTTTCATACTATTTTCCATCCCTGCTTCCTTTCATTTCCAAGCCACCTCTTTAATCCAACCAATGTCTTCCTTAATACCTGAGGAGAGAAGACATGCTCACAGAACACACACCAAAGCTTCACCAACAACTAGACAATTCTTGACCTCAATACTCATCTCTTAATGATATTCTGTTGAAGTTGATTAAAAAAGAAACTCGCTGGTATAATTTTCCTGCCTTGCTTATATGATCCAACAACAACCCACTGGTGGCTATTCAATGGGCTGCAACAAACAGATGACCCGGGTTCTGGTTCTGCTCTGCCACTAACTAGTGAGGCAGCAGTAGACAGACACCCCAGCCTCTGTTTTTTTCATCTACAACATGGACAGGATGCATTCAAAGCCTTGCTCCACCACTGACTAACTGTGTGACCCTGGGCCAGTTATTCAGCCTCTCTATATTTTGGCTTTCTCATCAATAAATGAAAATAATATTAGTATCTATCCCATAGAGTTATTAGGGTTAAGGGGTTAATATTTGTAAAGTGCTTAGAATACTTTCGACTCATAGGAAACACCGTCTAAGTTAAATAAAAATCAATAAAACCATAAAACTCTCTCCTAATTTCATTTTCTGTATGTTCCTTCATTCCCTCTGTATGTTCTTCTAAAGGCTAGACTAGATAATTTAAGACCACTTTTAGCTTTAAAGTTTTATCCCTCATAAAAGCAAAGAAAAACTTAATG